AGGAATCACTTTCAACTTACAGGTCTCTGTGTCGTCCGGTACCTGGGCTACAACAGAGTATCTAACACCATCAAACAGCAAAAACTGTAGCAATATTATCCCCTTTAGGTAAGACGCCATTAGTAGAAGCCATCAGAATGCAGGGAAACCATTGATTACGTTTTCTGTGACGACAAGCGCGCGACACGTCATATAGCAACCTCGTTCCCAGGATCAAATAATTTTATCAAAATTCTTATTTACTAAAAAGTGAGAGTCGCATCAATACTTGCTCTTATTCCACAAAGATCCAACTTGCATTTCTCAAAACGTTTTGCCAAGGAAATAAGAAAAGGTTCTAACGTGGCAAAAATAGCTACGAAGAGGCTACAAGTCGAGAGAGCTTGGTCACCACTGTATGCGCTGTAAGTTTAAAGTCCTGTCGGCTGAGAAATATTTATTTATTTATTTATTTATTTGAGGATTTGTACCAAGTACTGGAGCAGAAACAATAAGACATGGGTCCCCTACGAGGTTTAACCTCAATACGGAAGGCTCTAGGGACAAATTACGCACACGGTGTAATTTCTACATAGCGTTCATTAACTGCTTTGGCTGAATTTATTTTCTAACATAACATTCGATCAAAAAGTTTTTCCTGTAGCACATAACCATTCCAAATCAAACCCAACTTTTCACCTCGCTGTTCAGGAAGCTGCTCTCGTAGCTGTGGTAATTATGTTGTATCCGCAGATTAATCAATGCCACAGACCATTTTTCAATTTATTAATAATTTATTAAACTGTATTTTTCTGTACATTATTCATCTCGTGCTCGCGGGCTCGAGTAAGACTTCTCCTCAACAAGTTAGGCCGGACTTTTCTCGACCCAGCTCCTCGCACATCAAATGAGAATTCCGAGGAAACATAAGGAGCAGTCGCTTGCTTTGTCTAAAATAAAGGGAAAACCAAAACGAAAATCATTTAGGGCCGGTTATTTACACGAGGTCTAACCCAAACCACGGTTTTATGCAATCTGTGGGCTTAAAGGTTTTTCTATAGGAGGGTTAACTTAATCAAATAAATGTCTTTCCACTGTTAGCTTTCGGCCCTCTTGACACTATACACAAAAATAATATACAGATAAAAGGTTTCAGTTTGTTTGTGACGCGGTTTTGTTCAACAATGCCTGAAATTATTTTAAATAACCAAACCATAGAAATGGGTAAAGAGAGGAAATCATTATGAAAACGCACTCGCAACCTAAATTCTAAACCGGATGCTGATAATTAATTTAGAGGAATTTGAATCGGTGAACTCAAAGTTTGGGATCGAATCGATTCCTTACAAACGTAGTTCTCCCAAACAAATCTTTTTTTTGCAAATGCCTTAAAAAAGGCGATTAAGTCTCGAAATGAACGTTTGTGCAACATAAAGTAACACAAAACAATTTCTAAAATCGGAAACACGAAGTTGATGTCAAGTGAAGGTAAAGAGAGAAAGTATGAAACGAGCAAAGAGGGCACAAGTGTATGTGGCAAAAAAAAAACAAAAAAAAACAGACCAGTCAAAAAGATCGGCACAGTAAAATATAAACCATCGCTAAATTTATCGCGAAGACAAGCTAATCGCGACAAAGTGCAACCGTGGTAGAACAGAAAACCACTTACATGAAGGCGGCGAAATAAGACACTGGAGCCAAATGGTGGGGAAAAAAAGAACTAGAAACTAAGCTAAGTAATGTGAAACTTCCAGGCCCGATTGTTCTAAGGGTGGAAAACGCTATCCAACGGATAAAGCGCTATCCGGCACATAAGTGTGAACTCAAGGTGTTGCGCTATCTACCGGATAGTAAGTTATCCAGGGATGGCATGATCCACACTTCAAACAACTGGAGGCCAGTATTTTACTTCCAAGTTCACTTCAGCCTACTGGGCGAAAGCTTTAACAGAATCAGCTTTTCTCAATCCAAAATGAACTCCAGGAAAATGATCAAGTAAACTCACCGACAGCATAATTACAGCGGGAATTTCGATGTTTCCTTTCAGTAGAGCGTTTACTTGTTGAAGTCTGTCTAATGTTAATGGTGTCAACACGTGCAACAATTTCCGCCCAGGATCAATATTCCTCACGATTCCTAGAAGGAATTAGACAACAGACACAGGAAAAAAAAAAAAAAACGATAAAAATAAAAGAAATGGCACAATACGTAAACTGGCACTTGTTTCTCTCAATAACTTGCAAAAACAAAAAAAAAGATTTATATTCTAGATACCTAAGGTTCAGACAAGTCGTTTTAAATCAGTTTTTATTAATAGATGTCTTTTCAATAGAAACTAATTTTTTTCCCTTATTCCTTCTATTGTCATGTTAATTGTTGCACGTCTGTTTGCACAATAATTCTTAATAAAGACCTTTATTATTATAATGAAAAATTCGTCGATTGGATACTTGTTTTCCTTCAACTTCGTTCCCAGGGTCTGAAGCGGGGACTCTGGGGGGCGGGAAGATGAGAGACCCTGGGAACGAGGTTGATTTTCTTTTATCCTGTCGCTCCGCTGAGTGATCGAGAAAGGATTTCTCCTTCCAGTGTCGATACAATATCCTGCAAAAAAGTGATGAGAATAAAGAAAAATAACAATAAGGGATTGCTTGATCCAATACCACAGTCTCCAAACTAACATAATAAGAACTGTATGGCAGCGATTAAGGAGAATTGCTATCGAGATCTTGGGAGAGAAAAGGTTTACGAAATTCAGTCAAGCTTTTCTATGAAGTAAATCATTATATCCCACAGAATCATTTTTGCTCAATTTCCACGAGAGATTGTTCGCTGTGAGGTTACACTCACGTGGAGTTTTTCAGAAAAAAGCTTCGACTGTGGCGTAGAGAATGTTCGTTTATCAAATCCGTATTGCCAAGATCTGATTGCTAATTCTGCCATCTAGCTGCTACATATTTCCTTCTAAATTAGTTACAAGAATTTGGCTTTATATCAAGATAACAACTTCTACCGGATCCGTTTGAGTATTCTCATTACCTGTTTGACGGACAACGCACGCATATTATAAGAAGAAGTCACATGTTTACCACCTCTGGGAGTTTAATGGTTAGCTTACCAAGACCGATGCATTCTGCAACAAGACTCTCTGCCAAGAAGAATGGTGTGTTATTCTTATCCCCAATGCCATGCATCTGAAAAAAAAAAGGGTAATTGTACCTAAGGCTTTTGCAGTTTGCTTCGCAAAGTTGACGACGCACATTCATAATCCCACGGCGGTGGAAAAGCCACACGCTGTGAGATTTAAATACAAAAAGTTGCACCGAAAACAGCGATAAAGTGACTCCCGTGATAGGGCTCCGATTTTCCCACTCCGCCCACACGTGTGAAAAACCAACAGGTTTTCCCTCTGATTTCTCCTCTTCAAGGAAGTATTGTTTTCTGTTTTTTTTTTTTTTTTCGGTTAAGAGGAGTGCCTATAAACAGGGGCAAGTAACCTTGGGAAAATAGCAGACGTGACATTTTTCCTGACTTGAGGAACAAGTTAAAAGGTTTGGTGGCAAACTGGTAAAGGTGGGTGCGAAATCACTTCGCTTCAGGAGGCGAGTTTGCAAACGTGTGGTAGAAGGCGAATCTGCAATAAGAAAAAGCGTCCATAAACTTTACACTTTTATATTGTTTAACTCTGATTGGATTTCTGTTCCTCCAATCTAGTAGTCATCACTTTTTTGTAAACTAGTAAACTAGTCATGATTTCTTCAAATACTAAAGCGAAGCTACGTATTAACCACGTCTGGGAGTTGAGCGGCTTCTATTTAAAATATTTGCGGTATGGATTACAATCTCAAAGTGTTGTACCTCGTCTGTTTCAATCTTGGCCAGTCCCACGACACTCGCATTTATGGAGAAGAGAATTTGATCCCAAGGAACCTGCACCATGGAAGTTATAAAAAGTCAGTAGTCAACTGTACGCTCAAAGGAGAAGTGTGCTCCAAAAACTAGACTGTCTTTATCGCTGCCTTTTAAGATTCCAATGTGTAACCTTCTCTTTCACACTCTGTTTTCAAATATTCTAAAACCCTTGGAAACTTGCTTAGCAGCCTAACCTCTGTGGTTTGCTTACTCTTTAGAATCACAAAAAGCGTTGAGAAGAAATTTTCCATATATGCTTTTACGCGGCTGAGGCAGAAGAAAACGCATTTTTCGGAGCAAAGTTCTCCTTAAAAATTATATATCAAGTTGGGCTCAGAGGCCTCAAAAGGTAGTAATCAATATTTTAGTATCGTAATGAACTTCAGAGCTAAATTTAATCAAACCATTCAATCAGACTCATTTAGTTCAAAACAAACCATGACTAATGAATGACGGTGGTATTCAATGAGTGACATAGGCATACTCGGAGTTAACGAACTCCGAGTGCTCCCGATAGGAGTCGATCCGACGACCTTCCGATTATGGTTTTGGATGCTTTACTGCTGAGCTACAGGAAACTGATGGCAGGCGATTCCGTTAAAATAGGCCCATCGTGACAAACTTCTTGATTACTGCTAGGTTAGGAATGTCGATATGTGAAGCTTCTACGCAATGATGACGTAAATAAAAAGGTAAAATTTAAACCATAACTAATCCAGATCTGCTCTCATTCATTATTACCTCTGTGTGAATGACATGTACGGCGACACAATTCCAAGGAATTTGATAAGGGATGCAGGACATCAAAGCTGTTATATTAACAGCCGGTGGACCTTCGCGGGCTTCGTTTATTGTGTTGTTCGATACTATCCGACTGAAATAGGCCAACAATGCCAAACTGCGTTGATCAGATGGTCTGAATTTTGATCTGAAAGGGAAGGAATGTTCATGTCAACGTCGGTCTAATGGCTAGTGCGGCAGACTTTGAGTCGAGGGGTCTGGATTCTAGAACTGGCCGCGTCATTGTGTTGTGTTCTTGAGCAAAACGCTCACAGTGCCTCACTCCACCCTGGAGTATACATGGATACCGCAGAACTGACAGGAAAGCC